TAACACAAATGCTGTCCATATCAATAATTATCGCCGCCCTGTATCGGGTTGTACTGATAGTTTGTCTTTCATTTTTTTATTTTTAAAAATAGAGAAACAAACAAATAAATAAATAAATAAAGACTTATAAGGTTTAATTAAATATTTTATGATTTATCATATTATTTTATGTCCCAAATATTTATAGTAAGCCTCCATTTGAGAAGTGGGCTGGCTTTTTGGTTTTTTAACTTTTTTAGCTATTTTAGCCTGGGTTAAAAAGTTTGATTTGGTTTGAGAAGGACTTTTTTGGCTTTTTAGCTTTTTTGTGAGAGAAGAATGTAATGATTATGAGTTGGATGTGATATTTTATTTTTTGTGACTAAAATAGCCTATTTTGTTTTTTATGATTAAAATAGTCAAAAAAAACTCAGCTCTTGCCAAACGGAGCCTAAGTCATTTAAATAGATTCGGAATATAGGACATTGGATCCCAATTTATCTCATGTGGGGCAATTATAAATGACCGACCAAAAATGATGTAGAGGTTTGAATGATGGAATTATTCTCCGCTTTCGAAAGGCATCCCATTTTTTTAGTTATAAAGGTGTTAGGAGTTTCGCCTAACTTATCTGCTAAGTAATAAATTGTCTCCTAAATTTAGGTTAACGAAATTAATTTGATTAGTCAAAATTCTTGTACTTTATTAAGAGATTAGTAGTTCAAATCTCTTTACTTGTGTGTAAATTTTCTTTCCTGTATATTAATTGGGACATTCAATTTTATTGTAATATCTATACAATAAGACAGAATATTTTTTGAAAATATGTCAAAATGTATCAAAGATACCTTTCGTTTGAATGGCTGAGATGATTCTAAATCAATAACTAACGGTTGAAATCAATGTTTTTATGGCCCAAACACTCTATGCTCTCTCTCTCTCTTCCGCGTTTGCCCAAACACTCTCTGCTCTTCCTCTCTACACGTTCTCTCCTCAACTCCTTCTATAGTGGATCTCTCTCATCACCCATAATCTTTCGAAATTCTTTCTCTTCTGAAACCCTAGAAATGGCAACCAGATGTAGCAGATCACAGAAAGTGAAGACAATTTGATTCAAACAGAGATGGTGGTCTCAACAAGGAAGAAATTACAGCACTCGACCAATAGAGAAAGAGTAGATGCTGCCGCTCACCACCACTGCCGCTACTCATCATCACTGTCGCCATGAGCAAACCAAATGGATAGTTGGAGCAAAGAAGCAGTTAGGATGATGGCCCTTTTTGAAGTCCTCAAAGTCCTCCGAAATTTCAATATTTTTTTTTTCAACAGGAAATTTCGACATTGTCGAGGAAGCATCATTGTATCAGCAAAGTTTCGGTTCGGTTCTTATCTGTGAGACAGTGAGTTTTCGCTCTCAGTTTTTGGATTTGAGGTTTTGATTTTTGCCCTAATTTTTATTTCATTTCTCTTTCGTAGATATAAGATTGTTCAGTTTAGATGTAAGATTGTTCAATTTACTTTTTTTAATTAATTTCAATACATTTCTTGATTTCTAATTTATCTTACACAGAAGCCTCTCTCTCTCTCTACACATCTCATTCTCGGTAACCCCCGGCAGTGAAGCTGTTCTTGAATCTAGCTCTATTGTTCATCGTTGTTGTTTTTGTTGCTGCCTTAGGGTAGTCAAATTAGGACTCTGTTGTTTTTGTTTTTGTTGTTTTTGTTTCTGTTGTTCAATTTAGATGTAAGATTGTTCAGTTTACTTCTTTTAATTAATTTCAATGAATTTCTTGATTTCTAATTTATCTTACACAGAAGCCCCTCTCTCTCTCTACACATCTCATTCTCGATCTCCCCCGCCAGGTCGCCGCCGAAGCTGTGCTTCAAGCTATTCTTGAATCTGGCTCTGTTGTTCATCGTTGTTGTTTTTGTTGCTACCTTAAGGAAGTCAGATTAGGGCTCTATTGTTTTTGTTTCTGTTGTTCAAGCTGTTCAATTGTAAAAATTGTTTCAATTTTTAATTTTTATAGTTTTGTGGATCTAATAATTTAGATTTTGTGACCAATTTTTATTTTTTATAGTTATTGTAACGAATTTATCTGATGTAAAAATGTGAGATATGAGACAAACAGCACAACTAGCAAAAAATCAACTCAAAGATAAAGGAAAGAAACTAGTGATTCCTTTGTTTTTTTTCAGCTATGTTAACTCACAATTTCATTATTCTTTTTTGTTTTCCTCAAAGACGTTCGGTTCATAGAATTGTACAACATTTGAGAAGGAAAAACCTAATTCAGTATCGACATCTGCCTCTCCGCTGCTCATCATCATCGTTGCCATAGCAACTCCGCGACTATCCACCACCATTGAAAAGAAAAAACCCAATTCAGCATCGACATCTGCCTTTCCCCTTCTCTCTGCGCTTCCCTTGCTGCAATTCAAACCCCAAAACAAAGGTATTTTTTTCTTCAGTTCTTTGTGGGTTATGTACGAACTGTTTTTAGGGTGAATTTTCGAATCAATCTAATACATTTGGCGAATTTTTGAATCTGGCTCTTTGTGGGTTATGTACATACTGTTTCCATTCTCCATACTGTTATCTCTTAGCTATTGTTGTTTCCTTCTTTCCCCAATCAGAGCTCACTCTGATTTCTCTCAAATTTTTGTTGTTTCACCTCTCTTCTTCTTTCTCTCTCAGCTTTTGTTGTTTCAGCTTTTAATGTTATGGTTCTCTCTTCTCCTGGGTGATAATTACAGTAACTTATGATTCTGAGGGTGGATTCCTCTGCTTATTTCGTTTCATGTTTGAGCTTTGAGAGCATCCCCTCCGTGAAACCTCTGTGAAGAATTCATTGTTGTTCATTGTTGGTTTATCAGACTCCAAGGTTTATTTGGCAGCACAGTTCACATTATTGTTCATTGTTGGTTTTCAAATAATTTCTTCTTCCATGTGTTTTTATTCAGTTACAAGGATTATTTGCTGTCAGATGTATTATTGTTCATTGTTGGTTTTCAAATAATTTCTTCTTCCATGTGTTTGTTTGTTTGTTTGTTTTTGTTTGTTTTTTTTATTCAGTTGGCCTTCCATGTGCTCTTTCTTCTTCCATGTGTTTTTAACTTGAACACCAGTTTTTATTTTTTATTTTTTTATAGAAGAATGAGGGGAAACCAAAGCTAAACTGATAATAAAAACAACAAAAAAAGAATGTTCATAGTCATCACTTAAAAGCTCATCCAAAAAATTCAAAACAAACTGTAGAAAAGGGGAAAAAACAAACAGAAACCGTTTGAATCATCAGGAGAGGGAAAAAGAAGGCAACAAAAAAGCATTGATGAAATTGCTTACCAAACCAATAGGTCCCAATTGAGCCAAAATCAAAGAAAAGTAAGAAAACCCAATTGATGAAATACCCTCCAAAGATATTCCAAAGTTGGTTGTTGATTTAGATTTTTTTTTCCCCCTTAAAAAAAACACACCATTGAGTGTTTATGTTGGTTGTTGATTTAGATCCCCCCCCCCCAAATTTAGTTGGTGCGCTTTTTTTATTTTTATTTTCTTAACTACATTAGTTAGTGTCATTTGATACTCTTTATCATTTGTCTAATGCTAGCTATTCCACAAATGTTCTCTTGCTTACTTTATGGAAACCAGTCAGCTTGTTTGATTTCAGTTTTCAAAAAATAGTTTTCAAAAATTTCTACTTTTTTATTTTTCGTATTGTAATGTTTTCAATGAATTTTTTTAATATTTTAAGCAATTTTATTTTAATTTTTAGACAACTACTAAAAAAAATACTTTTTGCGACCGCTATAAACCGTCGCAAATAATAAAAAACAGTCGCAAAAGACTTTTTGCGACGGCCCATGCAGCGGCAAATAGGGGTCGCGAATGTGGAGGTGGCAAATACTTTTTGCGACGGCAAAGCAACGGTCGCAAATTATTTGCGACCGCCTAAACTACTTATGGCGACTGCTATTTTTCCGTCGCAAAAAACAAAGAAAAACACCAACATGATTTTTGGCGACCATCTTGTAACCGTCGCAAAAAGAAAAAAAAAAATAAAAGCATAAAAGTGTAGCGTTAAGCACTCTAGGAATAACAATGACAAGAATTCAAATAGTATAGCATTGTAATTTAATTGAACATGCCATTTGAGTCTCAAAATTGGAGCCATATGTGAAAGTTATTACAACTAAAAACTTGAAAAAAGTTCTTTTATGAAAAAAATACAATCTAGAACTGGCCAATCTTCTCATCAATTTTCTTGCTCGGGTGTTTCTCCACTCTATCGATAAACTAGCTAATCTTCTCATCGATTTTCTTTTCAAATTCCACATCACCACATTGCACCTATGCCCATGGAACCTGCAAAACAATCTGCTGCTCAAAAGCACCATAGCATGCACAACACCTCCACCTTTGTGCCAAACCCACAAATGGCAACTCAATGTCACGTAAAAGGGCAGATCAAAGTATTACTAATAAATAAATAAAATTACTTTCTTATAAACAATATTCAATTCCATCTATGGCATTTAAAACAATTTCTTATTAAATAGAAAGTGTAATAATAGCTGTTCTAACCTGGATGGCATTTGCTGTCCTCAATCAGAAAAGTGGTGCAGAGTACCTAATTTGTAACACATTTAAAAAATTCTCTACGGCAACAAGAACGAGGCTACTCTAAGGCTTGAAGGATGGATCTGCTAATCTTGGTTTAATTCTGAAGAAGAAAACAACACCTTCAAGCTTATTATAGATATTATATATAAAACTGGATGCTTATAGAGCAAGGGGTAAACCATGAAAAAGAATTGTATGCATAGAAAAATTAAACTCCAAAAGAAGTTTGGGTGTAACCTATATAAATCCATAGTTAAAAAGGAAATAACTGAATGCTTACAGGGGCCAATTCTTTTCATTTTTTTCTTTTGGTGAAAGGCCGACGCCCCAATTGTTGGATTTGTAGCTAAAGTCTTAACCTGAAAACAAATTCATCTAAACAAAAATTATAAAAAAAAAAATAAGAAAGTAAAAATCTCCACTCACCAAAGACTGCTTTTACGACCCAAATAGTTGCACCATTTTTTGTAGTTTTTGAAAAGTTTCTTAATAACTTCTGTAAGTGCGGTGTCATCCAACTAAACATGAATGAGGTATATGTTATGAATAACTAAGTGTTTTTTTACAAAATAAAATATTATGAGCCAACGCTATTTGTGAGCAGAATACCCTGGGCTGCTGATCAGGCTGAAATCGCTGAATATGCATATTTGCCAGCAACAATATCAAGTGCTCCCTCTGATTTGCCACATTATCCTTCTGCAAATCAATAGTTAGAGAAACAGATCCCCATCAAAACTCAAATGAAAAGAAGTGATCGAAAGCAACAAGAAAGTCACCTGAAATCCAAACATAGCCTGAAGCCAGTCTAGAATGTCTTCATCTGCTTTCTTCTTTTGGCCCTTGGGCCATGGCAGCCTCTGGTGTTTCGAAGTGCAGAAACAGAAGCTTGAATCTGTAAATTAAACAACCAAGGTATAAAAAAAGGTACTTTAAAGATATAATTCAAAAAGGTCAAGAACACTACTCTAGATATTCAAAAACTAACCTCATGATATTTCATGATTGCTTGATTTGAGCTGTCAAGATCAAGAGGAAGTATGTTATAAGGTACATATATCGCAATCTTTTCCTCAACCTTACTGTGAGTTTCCAAAATCTACATGCATATGTATGTCCAATTATTATCAATTTTTTTAAAATTTATATATATATATATATATATATATGCAAAACAAACAAACAAACTAGATACATCAACACTCAATATGAAAGAAGACTACCAGAAGCACAACAAAGTTCTAAATAGAAGTGGGTTAGTCTTAGCCTAAACAAAACTGATACAAGAAGTTCCCTCGAGGGACTGATATTATTCAAATATCACCAATCAACAAACTGTCAGTTTCACCTCATCTGCCACTTCAAGAGATTCTGTCAGATTAACAGCCTTCAAAACCTCAAATAGAACAGCAGCAGTTTGATATGCTTTTGTAAGCCGAGCGCTACATTAGGAAAAAAAAAAAAACAACAACAACAACAACAATTTCCTATCAAAATCAGGTGATAAATATTAATAGATTGAAAAGCCAAAAAACAAAACAAGTAAAAACAATGGTGTAAGAACATAGAGATTCAAGGAAATAGAGAGAATTTGATTATACTGTAAAAAATTGAGAAGCAAAATATTGGAATTAAATAAAAAAAAAGTGTATGATTATACTATAAAAAAATAAAAAATAAAAAACAACAATGAATTCTGAGCTCTAGATCAAGTACAGATCAGAACTCAATATAGAACGAGAACAAATCAAAACAAACTGAATAGAAAAACAAAAGAACTTTTAACAGAGTTGGAATCTGAATGTGAAGAAAACAAGCAGCATAACAAGAGAGACATTTAATAATAAGTTGTCATTGTAATTTGATCAATCCAAGTAGTTCAAAGAGTACCTATCATTCAAACGTCATTTGACTAACGCTATATAAAATTACAAAGAACTGCAATCATAAGATTGTGATCCATATCAATTTGACGAGCAAATACTGAATCTAAAGATAACTAAATTAATCACAATAAACCAAAGAACTCTAATCTACAAAACCAGATCAAACGCGATTTCAAACTCAAATGAGAACAAACAAATCAATAAAAAATGTATTATTATAGTGCAAAAAATAAAAACACAAGAATTCTCAGATACAAACCCAGATCAAGTACAAATATGAAACAAATCGAAACAAAATAAATAGAAAAAACAGAGGAAATTTGAAAAGAGTAGGTACCTGATTTGTACACAATGAAGCTCAAAGATAGTCTAAGTGTGTGTGTGTAATGTAGGTGAATTTTGAGATAGATGAAATGCATGATAGGTAAGCTTACTCTGTTGTATTTGGGAACTCCAAGAGACCTTTTCAATGTAGTCTACTAGCAGAGTTAGCGTTTCTCTGCGATGAATCGAGCAAATTGCAGCGAGAGATGTATACAGACACAGAGAGAGAGAGAGAGAATGTGCGAAAGAGACATTGAGAGATCAAGAGAGGAAGAGAGATCGAGACAAAAACAGAGAGATTGAGAGATCGAGGGAGAGATTCATACTGGTGAAGTTCTTCAGACAACAATGGATAGGTGAACGAGAGCAACAGCGAGACAGAAAGCAAGAACGAGAGAGAGAGTTGAGTGAGTCTGCTAGGGCAAAACTAAGAAAAGGGCGCAAATAAATGAAAGAAAATAGAAACCTTTTACTATTGCTTGCGTTTCATTATACCATCGCGTTTCGTTTTTTTTTTTTTTTTTTTGCCACAGCTAATCAGACAGTCACAAAAAAATAGACGCAAAAAATCAATTTTCTAGTAGTGACCTAACATAAGAACACTTAAAAAGTATAATATTTGTGGAAAAAAAATATTTAAAAAATACACTAATACCAAAAAATACAAAAAAATATAAAAATTTAATACATTTTCTTATATTTGTGTATTTATTAATTTTTTTAAATATTTTTTCACAAATATTTTGCTATTTAGATATATCTAAGTAAAATGTATTTAAAAAAGTAAAAAAATTACTTAAAATTTTAAAAATATTTACTAAAAATAAAAAAAAAAACACAAAAAATAAAAAACTCAGTTTTCAAAAAAATGAATTTAGAAAACTGAAACCAAACACACTGAGTATTCTTAATATTCAACAGGTTGAAAGCAAGGTAAAACAAAGTTTTCCATTGGGGCTAGACGCTCTTGCATTTACTTGAGGAATTTTGTTGTTCTCTACTTTTAACATCCTTCCTTTGGGCATGCTTTTATTACTTATGTTAAAACCCAAACTTCAATTGTCATTTCAAGTTTAACGCGCTACAACTTAGTAGGATTATATTACTTGTCTACTATGTGTAACTTATTACTCTGTTAAGTTTGCACTCATGAGTGGAAAAAAGTTATGCTATTCTTTATACGTGTTGGTCAATCAGGAAGCATTGCTTAATTGTTACGAGTTCTCTAAGAAGAAAAATATTTCAATATTTTTTTTCAGTATCTTTATCAAAAAAATGACACAAACTTCACAAATTTCAACATTATACATATAGATTACAATTACATTTTGATCCTAACATTATTTATATCGTGTATTTAGGCACGGGTATACACTAGTCTTATATAAATTAAATTTATAAATAAAATAAAATAAAAAAAGAAATCATCTCTTCTAATTCTGATAATTTATTACTATATACATACAATTGTGATTTTCGAAATATGTTATTGAACATACAAACAAAGGGTAAATTACCAATATGTCATAATAGTTGGAGTTAATTCCCATCAAATCCTATTGAAAATAAGTTCACTTAAAATTGTCGATAAAAATAATTTTTTTGTGAAATTTTTTATATATGTCGCTAAAAATTGACAATTAGTGCTTTTTTTTCTCATATTTTTTATAAATTGTCGTTAAAACTTTAATTTGTGACTTTTTTTATGACAAATTTTTTCTATAAAATCTATTAAACAATAAATCCACTTATTATGACCTACACGTAACTACCGTCACAGCAAATACCAAATAGAACCTCATGAGTTTACGCAATTGACTTCACTATTGTATACAACAAAATCCAATTATTGTGCATACAATTGTGGTGGGTCCTTTGGTTATAGTTTTAGATCGTCTATCCAAATTGGACACATTGAAAATACACATTTGTTTGTTCTGTCTAATCAAAAGGTGATTGATTGAAATTAGAGACGGATATAGGATTATTAATATTGGAATTCAAAAGTGTGTTTAGAAATATAAATTCTTATTGTTTTAAATTTTTTAATATAATAGATAATATTTTTTAATTTTTTAAGAGTGGTTGCCTCCCTCCCCACCCGTAGATCCACCTTTGATTGAAATGATCAAAACTTTGAGGAGCAATCTCAGAATGGTGGGAAATTGGGAATGAATGACGACATATTGGCAATGGAGTTAAGGTCCCAATAATATTTATGTAGCATAAAGAAGGGAGAAGTTATTGGTTGGTCTGGGATATATTGTCATGTGGTATTTTATGGGCTATTTTGGGACGATGATTATAATCAATTTTTTGGTTAAAAGTTTATTATAATCAGCTTTTTGGGAGAGAATCCACTTTCCAAAAGACCCTTATATATATTTTGATTGGTTGAGAGGATAAAATTTTCAATTTTGTATTGAGTAATTAGAAAATATGAACATACATAGGAATATGTGATTAGAGAAGAACATGCTTACATGATACCCTAAACCAATCATTAATTTTTCTAGAAATTATGGTCCCAATACTCTGAATCAGATGAATGGATGGAATAATAGTGTAAGGCAGGATCAAGCTGTCCTTATATGCTTCCAATTAGCTAAGCTTCCCTTTCATTCCTAGCCATCTCAAGTGCGTTCACCACTATGCTTCTCCTTTTTCTTTTCTTTTCTTTGTTTTTTTTTTTTTGGTGTGTTTTAACTTGCTATTCGGATCAATTTGCACATATTTTAATTAATTTTAAAATTAATAATTAAATAAATTTTTACTATTTTTTTGAATAAATATTAAATTTTTTCTTTAAATCTACACCATTAAGTCAATCCCTTCATTTCACCACTAAACAATTCACCGAACAATCATGAAATCACTTACCAATGCTGGTTATGATTAGAATGGCTACCAAAATTTGGATACACACCAATATTTTCACAAATTTTAACTTTTTTACTAACAAGCATACCAGCAAATATATAAAAGTAAATTATACTTTTTACTTTTATTTATATTATTGGAATTTAAATAATTTAATCCTTACATTATAAGTATAGTTTCAATTTGATCATTTTGTACAAATTATTAATAGCTTTTTCTACATGTACACTTCATACGATTTGCAAGTGTTTAAAAAATATTTATTTTAACCTTTAACTTGAACAGAATGACCAAATTAAAACTACACTAAAAGTGTAAAAACTAAATTATTTAAATTGAAACAATAAAAGCCACAGTAAAATTTAAGTGAAACTCTAAAAGTGTAATTTACCCAATATATAACAATAAAGTCATAAAGATACCAACAAATATAATGGTCATGTTTGGTTTGATTTTCAAAAAAAAAAAAAATCATAATTTTTTTTAAAAAAATTAAAAATTAATTTGGTGAAAAAAATAAAAAATACTTCTTATTTTTATATAACTTTATCTTTTGAAAGACCATAAATAATTTTTAAAAATACCTTTTTAATATTTATTTTTATCAAACTAGTTTCCATTTTTTTTTTAAATTCGGAATTTTTTTATTTTCAAAAAACAAACCAAACAAGACCAAACCAAACAAGACCAATAACTATTGAAGCACCCCATTGGCAATGTCACATCATAGTTCAAAATTATAGAATAATCTTATTAGTATGTTCATTGATACATTTATTAGTATCTCTTAAATTATTGATCGATGGCCATCAAATTTGGATATACAGAGTCAGAAATGCCTTGCAGCCCAGTGGCATTTTCCCAACACTCTCATGTGACAATTTGGAGGTTCAAACCTCACCAAAGGCAAGGTTGGGTAGAAGTGCTCAAGTTGCTCCTATTTGTTCCATTTTCTTACTATATTTTGTTTATCAATCAATATTGTGTTAGTACAATATGTCTCGCCACTCATGCCAAGATAGTAAACAAAATGTAATTATCATAGCATTATTGAAATCCAATAACATCACAACTCGTGCAAAGAATCATAATTTGGTGTTGAATGCACATGCACAAGAGAACAGCAACTGTATACATCTAGAACCAAGAAAATACACCAATTCACCCCCCCAAAAAAAGAAAATACACCAAAATTTTTCACTTTCTCTTACCATTGGATTCACACTTGCTAATCACAAGCTTGTAACTGTTACATGAAAATAAATAACTCCTTGTGCGTCTAAGGATCCTCAACTTGATCTTCCGTAAATAAATAATTTTACAACTATTTGAAATTAATTGGAAGTAATGACTGGTTCTCTATCCCAGGAACTTTAAAAGAAGAACAAACTAGCCCGGGCTGATTATAATGGCTTCACTGGGGGCATGTTCACATGTTGCGTTGTCAAATGGGTTGGATAGAACTGAACTCACCGAAGAATCTGTTGGAGTTGAAGGACTTGTTGTTGCTGATCTGGCGGCAGTGAACTCAACTGCTCTGGTGTGAGATTCAGCACCTGCTGCAGTAAGGCAGATTCCACATCGGGAGGAAGCTGCAACTAAAGAAAAAGGGGGAAAAAAACACTTGAGGTCAAGGGTAGAGAACCACAACACTGGTCTGCCATGAAACTAAATAAAAAATTGTCAGATCATAACCACATGGAGAGCTCAACGGTATTTGAGGATGACAAGGTTGAATACCCAGAATCATATATATTATGAAGTTGCCCAGATGAGCACGGTATGAACTGAATCCTCTCTTTTTTGGAAAGATGTAGGAACACTTGTGCATGTGGATAGTCATTAGTCCTTTTTCGGGAGAGAGTAGGCACTAAGCTGGCACATGGTCACTGGAGGAGAGAACTGAGGTGGTCTTAGAGAGAGAGAGTGGCAATGGAGAGCCTTTGATCTTGCCAGAGATGGACATATAGAGATACATGTCTCTACATACGCATGGCCGTCCCTCGTATAGGAGAGTCAAGCCACAGGAGGCAAACTCAGCCATGCATGGTGTTCCATGCTTAGGGACAGGTGGCTCGACTCCCTCAGTTCAACAATCCAGAAGTTTCTCAACCACCCACTCTACCTATGATTGGACCTCAGGGGTTGTATCATGGGATGAAATTGGGTATATGCATTAAGCCTCAGGACTATTGGGAGAGCTATAGTGGGTAGGTATAATACAATGTCCAAAACATGTCTTGGTCAGTGGCTTGTCTTCTTATGGGTCCTCCCTCTCTTTGTGACTCGTCAAGGTGTACGCCTCCTCCAGAAAGGGGCTAAGAAGGCACATAATTGAACTTTTAACTCTAAACTCCAAGTCACAGATCCTCCAGTGACCCATGCAGTGATCCTGCATGGTGCCATGGGTCACTGGACATCCTATGGCAAGGTACCAACCCCAGGAAAAATTTGCTAGGCCCTATTCCCCGACCTAGGCTGTTATGAAACATAGTGCCATTGGAGTCCAAGTACAAACAATCGGGATATTGGTCAGTGGAGCTTGTTTGGGTGATGTGCCTTAGTCTTGGAGTGTACAAGTATAAGAGAGGACATGCTTGAGTGGAAAGTTGCTTCAGCCAAGCTGAGGGAGTAACGAGTATGCTAATCACAAGCAGCAAGGCCAACCACCTGAGCAGTGGAACCAACCTAGCCTAGGAATGCATTGTCACTAAATGCTTAGGCTCAAGGATAGGTTACTGTACGAATTATTCTCGCCTAGAGTAGATCAAACCCATAGGGCAGCACATGGAGATGTAAAATTAGCACGTGTGCTACCTCATGAGATTGACATGTGGCCCTTGTGTATCCAAAAGGAGCTGACATGGTGATGATGTAACTTATGCTCCACAAGTATCATAAATCTAAACTATGGACAATTAAACGGATAAGAGATTCAAACAGTTTCAGAAGACAGGCTCAAGTTCATGTATAAAGTTGTATTATACAACTGGTTCTCCAAGAGCTTTAGTGCCGGTAATTGTTAGGAAGTGTGCATGTTAGAAACTTAAGTCGTAAAGTTTATCCCAAGGATGGTTCTCCAACAGCTTTTGGAAACTGGTAGGAAGTCCAAATGTTAGCTATTGGCACCCTTAAGCTTTGTTCCAACTTCATAACTTCTTTGAGTAGGCAATTTGGATATTGGCCCTCCCTTCCACCTAGCTACAACCCGCATTATTTCAACTCTATTTGACATAAACATATCACTGTTCTTTTTATACAACTATGGCTAGCTCCTAATATACTGTCATTTCTTCCTACCATCTCCTTGACTCAATCTCTTTAAGTTAACCAGCAGTTTATTTGAAGTAAATTCAAGGAATCAAAATTGGTAATCTTGCACAATATTGACATGAGCCAATTATATAGGATGCAAGTTATGTACACAGATAGAAACATGACAAAGCTTAAGAGAGTGAAAATTGAATGCATACATTACGGTAAGCACTCCATGAACAAGATTTCAAGATGTCAATGCAATGAAAATTTTCAGTGTCACCACTTCCAACACTTGTAAATCCCAGGCTCTTAAGTAACAACAAAGCTAACAGGAATAACCATTTAGTTATTTCAAGAACACACCAACAAATGCATGAAAAAATGGGTAGATAAATCACACTAGATGTACACAAACTAAGACCCATGTTTTCACCATAAATAAATTTTCGGTCAATTATAACTAGGTTTAAACTTAATATTATTATTATTATTATGCAGGAAAATTTTGGAGGTAAGGAGAAGTTAAGACAAGTTTTGAATATTCAAAGAATAAAAGACACATGGCATTGTAAGAAAGACGATGGAACATTTAGGAAGTTAAGAGTAGTAATTTAGGTGGTGGTTAATGGAAGTTCTTTCCTTCATTTTTCCTACAAATTGTCATTCATGGCTCTATTGTAATCACCAACAAATTAATACATGACTTGATTTCAATATTTCTTTTCTATCCTAAGAGTGGATCTAATCTATATAGAAGTAGTTCAAACTTAGATAGGAGTAGTTTTAATGTACTTTACTTGTAATTTGATTGTTTATTCAATCATTTCACTTCACCATCTTCTTCTTCTCTCTCCCTCTTTTTCTTGTTTGTTTTGCCATTATTTTCACTCCAAGGAAGTCCTTGAACTTTTAAGGCATAGAACCTCAACACAATTGCTTGATCATTGTGTTGTTTGGTGAAATTTGTGTTAGGCACTATCGATCTAAGCCTATCTAAAATTTTACTAACAGACCCCTTTTGTTTGGGCTCTCAAAACAATTTTTGAGCCAAAATTGAAAGCTCATTTGTTTAACTCTATTCCCAAAGCAATTCTCAAAATTATTCTAAATTTATCTCTATTCCCAAAATTATTTCAAATATATTCCAAATTCATCTCTATTTCCAAAACTATTTCAAATCTACTCTAGATTTTGTTAAAATTAATGCCATATTTACATTGCATACATTAGATACATTGGGTTCATGTATTCTTTCTATTCATGTTTTTTTTATATTTATTAGGTTCATTGTCTAGATTATATTCATGTACCTAGTTAGTTGTAAGGTTGTTCATTGAACTTATGTATAACCTTCTCAATATAAAAAAGGATGTAAGCCTATGGGCAAAGAGAAAAATAAGAGAAAAAATTCAAGATCAATACAAGTTAAATTCAATACAAAATAATAGTTCATTCTAGAGAGAGTTTTATAAAAAGCTAACAGAAATGGTATCAGAGCTTTGGTTGGGTCAAGAACAAGTCGATATCTATGGCAAATTCCAACAACCAAAATATATCTACTCCTATCTTGACTGGTGAAAATTTTGATTTTTGGTATGTGAAAATGAAAACTATTTTTGTCTGTACAGATCTTTGGGATCTTGTTGAGAATGGGTTTGAGGAACCTGAAGATGAAGGAGCTTTGACAAATCCCCAAAAGAACCAATTGAAAGAGCAAAGGAACAATGATTCAAAGACTCTCTCTCTGATTCAACAAGGAGTTTCAAAAGCAATCTTTCCAAGAATTATCAATGCTACAAAAGCAAAGGAGGCATGGGATATTCTTCAAAAAGAGTATAGAGACAACTTGAAGGTAAGAACCATCAAACTTCAATCATTGAAAAGAGATTTTGAAAATATAAAGATGAACGATATGAGATTGTTGAAGGATTATTTTTCTAGAGTTATGCAACTTGTGAACCAAATGAAAATTTATGGGGATAATATTTCCAATCAAAGAGTTGTTGAGAAAATTTTGATAAGTTTGCCGGAGAAATACAATCCTATTGTTGTTGTCATTAAAGAAACTAAAGATCTTACTGATTTGAGTATTGAAGAATTGATGGGTTCAATTAAAACATTTGAGCAAAGGTTGAGTAGGCAATCTGAAAAGTCAATTGAAAGTGCCTTTCAATCCAAACTCAATGTTAGTACTTCTAATTCCCAAGGAAGAAGAAGAAGAAATGCAAATGGAAGAGCAAGAAATACAAGAGGAAGAGGAACGTCTAATTTTCAAAGAAAGGAAAATGAAGAGTTCACTCAACAAAAGTGTGGAATTTGCAACCGAAGTAGTCATGTTGATAAAGATTGTTTGTTTCGGGGGAAAGCCAAAATGTTACAATTGCAACAAATTTGGGCATGTCAAGAAGGATAACCAAGTCAAGAGCACTCAACAAGCATATTTTTCCAAAGAGCAAGAAAGTGAAGAGCCTCACAAGGCATCGGATCAAAACAAGGATATATAGTTTCTCGATAGCGGATGCAGCAATCACATGATAGGAGATGAGAGCATTTCTATGAAAATGGATGCTTCCTCCAGTCCTCAAGTAAAAATGGGGAATGGTGCCTTAGTCCAAACAAAAAGAAAATGTACTATTGCTATAGAAACCAAGATGGGTACAAGATTCATTTCCGATGTTCTCCTAGTTCCAGACTTAGTAAAATGTGCTAAGTGTTGGACAACTTATGGAGCATGGATACCTTGTTCACTTTGAAGAAGATTTTTTGCAAAATTTTTGACAAAGGAGGGAGAAACCAAGTTGTAGCAAAAATCAAGATGGACAAGAATAGAAGTTTTCCTCTCATTTTTCGATATAGCAAAAATGCAGTTTTGAAGATGCATGTGATTGACAATTCATGGCTTTGACATAAAAGATTTGGGCATTTGAATTTTCAAAGCTTGAAGCATCTATAACAAAAGAATATGGTTTTTGGGTTGCTGACCATTCATGAAGTGCAACATATTTGTGAATGTTGTGCACTTGGAAAGCATCACCGGGAGTCATTTCCAAAGGAGAGAGTATGGAGAGCTAAAGCACCATTGGAGCTTGTCCATACCGATGTGTGCGGACCTATGGATACACCAACTCATGGAGATAAAAAGTACTTCATTATTTTTATTGATGATTTTACTAGAATGACTTGGGTGTATTTCATGAGATAAAAGAGTGAACTTTTCTCTATCTTCAAGAAATTTCAAAATCTTGCTGAAAGACAAAGTGGTTGTTTGATGAAAGTATTGAGAAGTGATAGAGGCAGAGAATACAACTTAAATGAGTTTATGAAATTTTGTGAATATATTAGTATAGAGAGGCAATTAACTTTTGGGTACACTCCACAACAAAACGGTGCGGCGGAAAGGAAGAATAGAACCATAAAGGAGATGTCAAAGTCTATGCTACATGAGAAGGGGCTACCCAAAACTTTTTGGGGTAAGGCCATGTATACAGCAGCTTACTTGATGAATAGATGTCCTACAAAAGCTCTTAAGGACAAAACTCCATTTGAAGCTTGGAGTGGAAGGAAACCATCGGTGAATCACTTGAAGGTGTTTGGTTCCATTTGTTATGCTCATGTTCCAAAAGAAGTGAGGCACAAGCAATTTGGCTAAAAAGAATTTTGGATGATTTTGGTGAAAAGCAAGGTAAAGCTACTCCAATCATTCTCGTACCAAACACATTGCTATCAAACATCATTTCATTAGAGAAGCAGTGGAAGATGATGAGATTCAAATCAAATATTGCAAGACTGAAGATCAAGTTGCAAACATCTTCACCAAAGCTCTACCAAGGGACTAGTTTGAATTTTTTAGAGAAATATTGGGTGTCACACAATATGGCATTAAGGGGAATGTTAAAATTAATGCCATATTTACATTGCATACATCGGATACATTAGGTTCATGTATTCTTTGTATTCATGCTTTTTTATATTCATGTGTTTTATATTTATTAGGTTCATTGTCTAGATTATATTCATGTACCCAGTTAGTTGTAAGGTTGTTCATTGAACTTATGTATAACCTTCTCTATATAAAAAAGATGTGTAAGCCCCTATGGGTAAAGAGAAGAATAAGAGAAAAAATTCAAGAGATTTATCTTTATTTTCAAAGCTATTTCAAATCAAATTTATCTCTATTACCAAAGTTATATTAATTGAACCGATATTATGTTGAAGTATGTGGTATATCATATTTTCAAGTTAATCCAATTTTTTATTTTATTTTATGTAACTTTGTAAATTTGCCAATTCAAATAAAATTTTAAAACAAAATGAATTTGTATTTCGAATTAATAAAAAAATATTTTTGAAAATAGTGAAAAAAATGTGTTTAATTAAAATTTGGACGACTAACGTGGAATGAGCAAATAATTTTTAAAACTTTGTTTGGTTTTGAAGTATTCAAAAACAATTTTTAAGGTTTTTTTTTTTATATTTATAATGAAAATTTTTAATATATTGGCCAAATTTTTATTTTTATTTTTATTTTTTAGATACAGATAATCTAGATATACTTTAAAAGTAAAAATAAAAAAATAAAAATAAAAATTGAATTTTTTTTATTTTTTTGTATATTTTTCTGTATTTAGTGATTTTTTAAAAGTTTTTTTCATAAATTTTATATGTTTAAGTATATTTAGATTTAGTGGATCTAAAAACTGAAAAACATTGATTAAAATATTAAAAAAATTCATTTCAAACAATAAAATACAAATTGAAACTCAAAAACTATTTTTGAAAACTCCAAAAGTTAAAAAATTTGACTAAAATACAAAAAGTACATTTAGATTAAGTGTATTTAAAAAGTACATTTAGATAAGGTGTATCTAAAAAGTAAAAAAAAAAATTGACTAAAATACGAAAAAAGTTCACTAAAGACAACAAAACATGAAAAACAAAAAACTCAAAAACTAGTTTTCAAAACTCAAATCCAAACAAGTTCTAAATTTTCAAATTACTAAAAACTATTTCCAAAATACACAACCAGACAAATTTTCAAATTTTGTCAACTCTTTTCAATAAGTTCTTTTTCAAAATTGATTCTAAAAACCAGACCAATTTACGTTTTTGGTTTATGTTTACAAAAATTTTATAAACTGGTTTTTGTTTATTTTTAGAGAAATATAAACTACAAACCCGTTTGGTTTGAACAAAATATTTGAAAAATTTTAAAACACAAACTAAAAAATCTTTGTTCATGCCTAAACTACTTATATTTATTTTTTATTATTTATGACAATGGGATCATACACATTATAATTGAAAAAAAAAAGTTAATTAAAAAAATTAATAGAAAAAAAAAATATTTGAAAAAAAAATTAATTGAAATAAAATTTGATAGAATTTCTGTCTAAAAATGAGTTTACGTTTTTTTCCTTAAATTTACAAACTGAGACAACCATTTATAAACCAAAAAAATTATCAAACAAGTTTTTATGACAGTTTTTAAAATTTTTATAAATATAAACTAAAAACGAAATGGTTACCAAACAGACCCTAATAATGCCACAAATGAGAAACATGGTACCTGAGGAACTTGCTTCTCGGGGTTTATAGCTTCTTCCACTTTGTGAATTTGGTTTCCAAACAAGGCATCACCAGAAACTTGGGATGTTTATAGCTTCTTCCACTTTGTGAATTTGGTTTCCAAACAAGGCATCACCAGAAACTTGGGATGGTCCAGATAGAGCTGTCAACACATTTACACCCCCCACCAACTTACTCCTTCCTTCATCCAATTTCATTAGCTTTGAAGGCCCACTCATTGGATCTGAAGTATCAACCATAGATGGTATAGAAGGCAAGCTTGAACAGTTCTCAACTCTTGGGACCCAAGTTGATGCATTGGTAACTTGAGCAGGTCTATCAGCATCCTTATTTATCATATCAGGAATACCCGATAATATTGAGGTGCCAGGCTGTTCATAGTAAAAGAAATATATGCACATAATCAATTTAACGTTCAAATATACTAAAATACATCTGATAGAACATTTTGTTCAACATCTGTATCTGGACCATCCCAAGAAAATAGTAGTACATTTTGTTCAATGGCAAACATCAAGAAACTGTCAAACTTATTTACCTTTTTCAGTCATGACATGAAGTGCTTTTTTCTTTTTTTTCTTAGAATTTTGAAGCATTTCAACAATTAAAAAGATCACAGAACAAAAAATATGCATTTCAATCTACCTTAAGTGAATCAAATACTGTTAGGCATGCTTATTTACCTTAAGATTAGCTCTTTAAAAATAAAAAATCATTGGCCATATTACAGTAAACATCCAAGTTGCAATGGAAGACTACTCTTATAGGGAAAACAAATAAGAGTTATATAAATACTCTTTGCTTTGGGCCACCTAAGAAAACAGCATGCCTTGGACGCAAGACTATTCTTCAAGGAGAAGATAATAACGTCAAATCTATATTTTTAAGCTATAGCCCACTTAGGGATGCCTAGCATGTAGCATCTTTCCTACCAGATATTCATGTTTGATTCTCTGATTATGGATGCTAATAGCATAAGCATAGTTTGCACCTGGAAGTTCTGATTTGATAGCAGAGGACGAGTCAAAAGGGAAGGTTGAAGAGTTGCATTTGGAGCAAACAGCTGACTGTTATGTCCTAAATTAGCAGCTGTGGCCTGTCCTTGGTGTGGTATCAAAGGTGATTGCATTTGCCGCTTCGCAAAAGATGAAGCCGCCACCGGAATGTGTGGTCTAGAAGATGCATTGCCCAAAGGCAGTGGGCATATGGATGGAAGTATTGAAATTCCAGAGTGGCCTGGCAATGAGCCTTGTTGCAGAACTTGGTTCTGGGGTAGCTGTGGAAGCTTAACTTGAGGATGTGTAGGAAGTTGTGGGAGAGCAGAATATTGGTTGTGAGCCAAAGAATTTGGATGCAGAGAAGATATTTGACCTTCTTGTACTCTGGGCATCAAACCAAACTGCATCTTGTTCTGTGCAAGAGGGGGCAACCCAGGAAGAGTTTGAACTACTGGCTGCTGACCTTGTTGCCCATCTTGTGACAAAGGCTGTCCTGAAGCCTGCTGAATATTTGGCATCTGCAACTGCACAATTTGAAGGGAAGTAAACATATTTCTGTCAGCCAATATCAAGCACTGGAGAGCAAATAATAACAGTATAACAAAAAACTTTTAAGGTAATTGAACGAACCATTTGTGGGGTAACCATTTCTAGCATTATCTGTGCCTGTAATCAGAGTCAGATGACACCATGTAAGATGTTGTAGATGACAAGATCACAATTGAATTGTAATGAAGAAAAAATACACGTGAAGTAAATAGACTTCTATACTTCCATCTAGAGGATCCGTCTAGATAACCAAGAAAAGGGAAGAAATAGACTTCCATACTTCCAAATGGAATACAGATGTATTTTCCTCTCAGAAAATTTAGGTCAAGAATTTAAATAACTACCTCCTTATAGAATAGAAAAGTCTAGTTCTAAGTTGGGTCACAGAAGACTGGGTATGAGGTTCAAGCTCTATTCAGCAAGGAACACCATAAATAAATTTAAAGATGGGGTGAGAAGTTTGGGAGCTGCAGCAAGGGGTTATATAAGTAGAAAAGGATGGATAGAGTTTTTTTTTTTTAAATAGACATGTCTAATGTACTTATCCACAGAGATGCCTAAAGTAGCTACCTAATGGCTTTAGAAGAAAATTACAAACAATCATGATGATTTTTTTTCCCATGTACTTAGTATTGCAGAAACACACAGAGCATCTAAGCCTTTTTTGAAGCTTTGGCATCAATCCAGTGCATAGTCCTACAATAATGTGGTGGATGGCTATGTAGTTTGTTTTCTATTTATGAGTTTGAATAGAAAATATCACTACAAATGTCAGCTTGAGGCTAAAAAGAATGATGGGATGACAGTAAACAAGTACTCAAGAGAAGGTATAATCTCTGACAAGGAAAGGTTTGTCACCAGTGCTTAGCATCGATATTCATAATGGGTGGAATAAGATGAAGCTGGAGAGATGAGCAAGTGTTTTCTTTTTCATGTGTATCTCTTCCTGATTTCGTTGTCCTTTTCTGAGCCTATCTTCTTAATCTACTTGGCATTTTTACTCTTGTCCACTAAATGCAAGCATACACAACCATTTGGTTTCTACAGAAATGAAACTTGATGCACTAACCCATACAGGACAATGTTCTCCCCATCCCCATGAAGCAACAATTTCACTCCTATGCTCCATTCTATAGCAAAAATTTATTTTATCTATTGATGAAATATATTCTGACAAAGATCCAGTCAACACAAATAGGGATGATGTGGATAAAGAAACTGTATGTGCAGATGAATAATAAGGCTCCGTTGTGAGGTGGAAAGTTTCATGCTAAGAACTCCACACCATCCCTCTGAGTTGCTGGAACAAGAGTATAAATGTAGAATGTTTAGAACAAAACGTACAGAAGACAGTCATCTCATAAACATGCACAAATATGTACAAACACACGAGCATGAAACACGGAAATAAGCCCCAAATCTAGAGATTAAATGGCTGGCAAGAATTATGAAGTGTAATAATAAATAAAAGTGACTAAAAAAACCTCCTTGTTTCAATTATAGAAGCATCAAGGGCAGAAAACAACCTCAAAAACAGCTTTTGCCAACTGTGGGTTTGCAAGCAATAGCTGACGAGCTTGTTCCTTGTTTTGCATAGCCATTACCTAACATAAAAAAAATGAGAATGAAACTATACCGCTTATTTAAAGTTATTCATAAACGCTGGCTAAACTTTAGTCAAATGTTTACCTTCAGCTCAAACATAACCTCGTTTAGCTGGTTCCTTGACATTTTGGCCAGATGAAGAGTTAAAGGATCACTATACAATGCTGGTTGACCTTGCAAGCCATTTTGATTCATTTCCCTTCTACCCTGAGCACCTCCAAGCACTCCTGCCATGACAGATGCAGCAGCCATAGCTACTTGGAGACCAATCGGCTGGTGGGAACCAGAATCCCCAGTAACTGTTGGACCACCAAATTGCTTTTGAGGGTCTGTATTATATCCATGGGGAAAAGAAAAATATCTCTAGATCATATTGATGCAAAACAGTAAACTCAAGGTTGCAGAAATTTGATAAAAGAAAGAAAACTAACCAACATTTGCAACCATCCCAGGTCCACCACGACCCTGCAGAAAAAGCAACCATTGCTGTGTTAAATTCACAATAGAATATGACATTTGACATCTCCTAATCCTTAATTAAATTCAGAGCATTCAAAAGATGTTCAACATCAAAATATCAAGTGGTGATCACAATTCCATGAAGAAGAAATTTCATGCCTGTCTGTCTGTATTTGTTCACACTTACATCAATTTATTAACAATCACCTTTATAGTGTTACAACACTCATAAACTAAAATGTTGCCTAAAGGTCCACAATGTGAAGGAAAAACTATCGGTGTTTTCTGGAAAATGAAACCAGAAAACAAAAATTGAGAACATAAACCAAACACACCCTAAATTTTCAATATAAACCCATTACTTCACAAGAAACAACAATTTACTACTGAGAATAATAGATCAACAAATTTTAACTAACTTTCCTTTTTTCAATCCCAGGATACAATTTAAGAGTGAGATGTTTGAAGTTGTTATTTTTAGATTCCATCTTTCAATGTAATTTTTTAAAAAGGGCAAACATTCCCCTCAATTTACAAGGGTTGAAGTTGTAACCCAATTTAAACTGATTTAGTCTTTGAACAGCTGACGTTTTCCTTCAGGCTTCAAACCAAAACACAACCTCATAAATACAACTCTTATTCAGAGTTCTTGATTGTGGTGCTTTACATTGTTTCCTCAGGGGTTGATTCCATTTAGCTTCCAATTATACTGTTAACGAAACATCAATTCTAGGAGATATGAATCTTTGGTCAGTATAAGGAAGGAAAATTTGTCATTTGAACTCAGAATGCAACCACCCAAATTTAAGATATCATTCTTCAAAGTTCTGATGAGCATCTGTCCAGGCAAATGCTTCAAAAATTAACTCACAAGTTCTTGCTTGCTTTGGAGGTGTGTAATGGGTGGAAGTGGTAAAACCATCCCATTTTTCATAGGCAATGAAAGCCCATCTCAAACTTCATGCAATACTTTCTTCCAATAACTGTGTCACACTCCATGGTATAAATTATTAATCAAGCCAAATAAGTGTTCCAGGCCTTCAGCTTAGAAGCGACTGAATTCAAAGCTTCCTTTCACACATCACCTCTCCTAGCTAGGTCAGTTAATGCATAGATGGTTGCTAAAGAGACAACTGAAATTCCAGCTGGGCCCGGTTGTCCTATTTGAAGAAATGATGAGCAGTTAATTTTGGGACCTGCATGCAATCTATAATTATGCACAAACATTTGGGTAATATCATAATCATGGTCTACACATTGATTTGGAGGCTGGGTTCATAAAAATTCCAAGGTAGAAGGATTTTGAGGCATCATACATAGGCATAGCATAACAGAAATCGTCAAGGTTTTATAATGACCCTTATAAACAATCCAAGGATTGGATCACAATCACATTGATGCATAAACATGGATGGAGAACTAGCCTGCTGGTTTGCAAACTACACTCTCCAGCAGCAAAAAAGTGTTTCCATTCTAGAGTGACCTGCTGCAAACCCTCATCATCTTTCAATGACTAATATATCTAGGACTGTCATACTAAATGTCTGCAGATTAAAGGCTGTACTTCACTAATCTATTAAAACCCTTAACCACTAAAAAAGAAAATATATGAAATCCCAAGTACAATTAGAGATATGCAGAGGAAATGAACCAGGCCTACCCTATGCAAACACATCCAGCTGGAGCCTCACAACAACGGACCATTAGATAATTAACAAGGCCAGAATCAGCAGCTTATAGTGGTCACACATGAGATGCTAAATGCTAATGATCAGTGGATAAAAGATTCTGTCAACAATCTAGTTATTTGTTCACACCTATATGCTGAAATGATTGCTACAAGACAAGGGCCTAAGCTGTAAAGAGGTGCCTATCCCATGGTTGCAAGATTAGTATGATGATGGTGCTGGTGATGACGATGATAACAAAATGAGTTGCTTACTCATTCATCTAAATATTTTACCTGTTCCCGATTTCTGTCAGTGTTTTTATCATTTTCAGCAAAATCAACTCGCAATTGCCGGCCATTGATCTCATACCCCTGAAGATTACGGCGAGCACTTAAAGCAGTCTCTTCATCCTTATATTCACAGAATCCATAACCTTTTGGTTTTCCAGTTTCTCTATCAATAACTAATCTGAAAGAGAGGTAACAGAATCAATCAAAAAAGCAAATCATTGGCATTTAAAGTAAGTAAGAAATTGGCTAAGAAGCATAACATATCCTTTTCAATTCAACACAAAATAAAGAGAAGTTTCAACATTTATCTCTCAAAATCTTGTTAACAAAAATTCCTTGCAATCAAAAATAAGGCAACCTTTGTTTCCAAGTGGCCAAAAAAAATAACTACAGGATTCATGACAGTAGCATTCAAAGAAACAACGATTCATCCAGATAAAACATTGGATCATATGACCCATATCCCGAATGATTATAACATCTAAAACAGTAGATAAGATAACCATCTAGTCACAAGCAGTGGAAATCTTCAAGGTGTGGTTTCCTATATACTGAAGATTAATCGATCAATTTTAACATAGTAGGCTCACAGTTTCCAAATTGATGCATTATAATCCAAAAAATTAGTACCAAAAACCATGCCCTAATAACACAAATTCCAAAAACCAACCTTCAGAATCCTTGTTTGAACTTGAGAATATTTAGCAAAATATCAACAATTCAAGTGCAATACTAAATCATATATGCTGATAATGAAAGGGACCAAAAATTAGAGGGTTTTACCTGAAAGACACAACAGGGCCAACCTCCTCGCAGATTTGTATTAGCTGCTCTTCAGTGGCATCATAGGGTATATTCCCAACTGCCACAAAATTGAACCAAGCAAACATGAGGAAATAAGTTAGGGTTTAATTGGCGGTGGCAAGAATAAAAAGGATGCATTTTTTTTTTCCCGATTCTTTTTTCTTACGATTTCTCACTAACCAAACAGAAGATTCAGTGATTAATCTAAGAATGAATCAGAAATAGAGAGAAAGAGGGGGTGAGTTAGGGGAGAACGAACCAAAAACGCAGCGATGCTGAGAAGTGGCCATGAATTAATCAGAAGAAGGCGAAGCTCAGAGTCAGCTTCATCTTCATCTTCTTCCTCCTCTGCATCGTTCTCTTCTTTACTTGTTCTTTATAGACTATTGGCTTTATCAGTGGTCGTTCAAAGTATCATTCACAGGCTTTCAGGACCGATATATATATATATATATATAAGAGAGAGAGAGAGAGAGAGAGAGAGAGAGACATAAAGTAGGATTTACATGTGCAGAGACAAAAGAGTTCGGTGCGTGTTCGTTTTCACGGCGACGACTCGAACTTGTCCGATCTAAAATATGTGCTACAAATTCCCTTTTTTAGTGTGTTTTTCATTTGGGTAAGTTACAAATTCATTTTCACTTAAAATACAATCAGTATTTTGTCTGAGTTTTTTAAATTAAGTTTTTTTTGTAAATTGAATTTTTTGATTTTCGTATTTTTTTTTTATTTTTAGTGAATATTTTTAAAATTTTAAACTGTTTTTTTAATTTTTTAGATGCACCTTACTTAGATGTATCTAAAAAATAAAAAAATTGTAAAAAAATATTTTAAAAAATTAATAAATACATAAAAATACAAAATATGTACTGAATTTTTGTATTTTTTTTATATTTTTGGTATTTAGTGAATTTTAAAAGTTTTTTTTCACAATTTTTTTACTTTTTAGATATATTTATGTTAGATATATCTAAAAAGTAAAAAAAAATACTTAAAATATTAAAAAAATTTAATAAAAACAAAAAAATACGAAAAACAAGAAAGTAAAATTTTCTGAAAAGAGTTTTTAGAAAACTCTAATCAAACATGACATGATTCTAAAAATTATATTATATACTTCAAGTTTCAAATTACATAACATATTAATATTTTTATTAATAAATCATAACATCAATTAATAATTTTTAATGGGACTAGACTCTCTCTAGTTTTGTGTTTTAACTAAATAGTCCAATCAAAATAGTCCAATCGGGTCCAATTTGTGTTTGTCTTGATAATTCAAACTGTTCAATGTGTAAGACTTATCGAATATTTCATTTTTGTAAAAAAATTACATTGATCAACTTGATCATATCATATTTTTGTCAATAATTTATTTTTAAAATTATACTTATTGTTGACACAAATTTAATTTGATTAAGTGACTATAAATATCTAATCAATGTGATTTTTTCCATGATGAAATACATGACGAACCCTACATATTGAACGGTCTGAATTATCGATACAGACTCCATAGTGGGCCTTCGGACTAGAAAGAAGTCATTGCCTTTTCAATGATATCAAAAATATATTTTAATTAATAATTCAAATAATTTTATACTTGTATAGGATAGTAGTTAAAAATTTTATTTTTTTATTAATTCTATTAAATAAATAATATTGACAATGGAGTATTTAATAGCAATCCCGGGTTTTTCCTTTTATGTACAGTATTCTGGACTTAAGTTCTACGGTTGAGTATTGTTGCATTTGTTTCATTTTCGTCATTTAATTCCTTATATTTGAATTTTAGGATGTGTTGGGCAGGTTTGTATCAGGTTGGGAGTGTTTTGAAACAAATGGTTGTTGCCTAGATTTTGGTGTATCCGCTCGAGCGAGCTCTATGTTTTAGATCCTTCGCTCGAGCCAGGGTTCCTTCGCTCGAGCGAGAGTTGGGTGATGTGTCTGGTGGCTCGAGCGAGAAGTCTTGCGCTCGAGCTTGCGTCTGCGTCTGGTTCTGGACCTGAAGGTTGCAATTCTTCGCTCAAGCGAGTGAGGTCTATGTTTTGGGTTTCTTTGCTCGAACGAGCTTTTCTTCGCTCGAGCATGCTTCTGGGTTGTAGACCTGAAGTTTCGATTTGTTGGCTCGAGCGAGGCTTTCTACGCTCGAGCGAGGTTTTTTTGTGTCTGGTCGCTCGAGCAACCACTCCTTCGCTCAAGCAAGCCTCGAATATATCAATTGGCAGCAGCTTCTTCTTCTTCACTTCTTCATCTCCTTTTTCTCTCAAACCCTATAACGGCTGCCTCTCTCTCTAAACCACCATTTTCTCTCTACAAATTCATCTAGGTCTAGTGTGTTTCTACCCTAGTCCCTTTGTTAAAAGTGTGGAGCTTGGTGTGAGTTACATTTCAATCCGAAAAGTTATGGATTTGGAGCACTTTGAGTTTCACCTCTCTTCTCCTTTGAGCTCCGAAAATTAAGGTAGGGATAACCTACTCCATTCTATGAGTTTTAACATTAATTTTAGTCATTTTGATTAGATGGTGTTGTTGGGTAATTTCAGGAAAAGTTAGGGTTTGATGTGTAATTTATAAAAGGGGGTTTTAAAATGTTAAACTCCATGTGTATGTGAGACCTTAAAAAATGGGATTATTGTTGTTAAATTGATTAAATTGAACCTTAGGGTTGATAATGGAAAAAGGAAAAATGCTCTAATTATGTTGAATAATTAATTTGAATAATTAATTTGGAAAAATGTGAAATTGGGTTGGAAATCATGAAATTGGATGGAATTGTAATTGAATAGTGTGGATGGATTAATTTATCACCCACGTATGAAATTGTTGATTATTTATCTGTTCGATAAATTTATTATCTGTTTAGAGATAACTGCTTTGGGCTATCGGTGGAGGATAGCCTTGATTGTTGTAGACATGGTATGATAATTAGGGAAAACTGAAACTAATCACATTGAATATGTCGGTTGGAATAATACAGCAAATGTGTGTATTGATTGATCATTGTATATGATAAGTGTTTAAATATATGTATATGTATATTATTTGGGAGGAAATAGGGGATGTACTCCATGATTTGGGAGGAGATAGGGGATGGATTCTCAAACCTGTTTGGGAGGAGATAGGGGATGGACTTCACTGATACAGCAAATCTGTGTATCATTTGAAATATGGAAGTGTTTTAATATGAGTTATATTCTCAAGTGAATTGTGAAGTATGGAAGTATTTTAATATATGTTATAGTTTCATTGAATTGTTTGGCTAGGTTCTAAGCCATAATTATGAATCGAAACTGTATAAATAAAGGAAACTGAAATGAAAAATTGATGTACTTGATGTTGAATTGAAAAGGGTTGTAAGTTGGTTTATAAGTGTCAACCATATATCAAATGCTATTGTTTTAGTTATTTCTCATACTTGGTTTAATATATCTCTACTAGGCATTGATTCACCTCATATGGGACATCATTTTCAAGTTCAGGTGATATGCCACCTCCAAGGACATAGCTTGGGAGGCTTAGAGGCTGAAGATCCCTTTTTGTTGTCTACATTTTTTGTGTATTACATGTAAATTCAAGTCGAGGGCTTAATGTGTATGAGTTAGTACTCTTTTTTTTTGTAACCAAGTGTTGGCTTGGAAAGTTGTAAACCTGTAGGGCATTTACTTTTGTTGTCAACATGTAATACTTTTGTGTTAAATACTCTAATAAATAGATGTACACTTTATTCTCTTGAATATATTGTCAATTTCTTGTATCATGAATGTACGAATAATGGGTTTATTTTGAGGGTGTTACAATTTATAATTTTTGGAATCACAAGAAATAATCTGAATTTTAAAAAAATCTCAAAAAGTATATTTATAATTTACATATTTTATTATTATTATTATTGAAAAAGTGGGACAATATTTACGAATGAGTGGGGATAAAAAATAAAAAAAATAAAAAATTAAATTAAATTAAAGTAGTGATTCTTTAGCATCGTCATATATATATATAAGAGAGAGAGAGAGAGAGAGAGAGAGAGAGACATAAAGTAGGATTTACATGTGCAGAGACAAAAGAGTTCGGTGCGTGTTCGTTTTCACGGCGACGACTCGAACTTGTCCGATCTAAAATATGTGCTACAAATTCCCTTTTTTAGTGTGTTTTTCATTTGGGTAAGTTACAAATTCATTTTTACTTAAAATAAAATTGGTGTATTTGATTTGAATTTTTTAGATTAAATTTTTTGAAAATTGAATTTTTTGATATTCGTATTTTTTTATTTTTAATGAATATTTTTAAAATTTTAATTTTTTTTTTAATTTTTTAAATGCACCTTACTTAGATGTATCTAAAAAATAAAAAAATATAAAAATATATTTTAAAAAATTAATAAATACATAAAAATACAAAATATGTACCGAATTCTTGTATTTTTTTATATTTTTGGTATTTAGTGAATTTTTAAAAGCTTTTTTTCACAATTTTTTTACTTTTTAAGTATATTTATATTAAGTATGTCTAAAAAGTAAAAAAAAAAATTACTTAAAATATTTAAAAAATTCAATAAAAATAAAAAAATACGGAAAACAATAAAATAAAATTTTCTGAAAAGAATTTTTAAAAAACTCTAACCAAGCATGGCATGATTCTAAAAGTTATAATATGTACTTCAAGTTTCAAATTACATAACATATTAATATTTTTATTAATAAATCATAACATCAATTAATAATAATTTTTAATGGGACTCGACTCTCTCTAGTTTTGTGTTTTAATTAAATAGTCCAATCAAGTCCATTTTGGGTCCAATTTATGTTTTTCTTGATAATTCAAACCGTTCAATGTGTAGGGTTTATCGAATATTTCACTTTTGTAAAAAAATTACATTCATCAACTTGATCATATCATATTTTTGTCAATAATTTATTTTTAAAATTATACTTACTGTTGACACAAATTTAATTTGATTAAGTGACTATAAATATTCAATTAATGTGATTTTTTCCATGATGAAATACTTGACGAACTCTGCATATTGAACGCTTTGAATTATCGATACAGACTCCATAGTGGGCCTTCGGACTAGAAAGAAGTCATTGCCTTTTCAATGATATCAAAAATATATTTTAATTAATAATTCAAATAATTTTATACTTGTATAGGATAGTAGTTAAAAATTTTATTTTTTTATTAATTCTGTTAAATAAATAATATTGACAATGGAGTATTTAATAGCGATCTCGGGTTTTCCCTTTTATGTACAGTATTCTGGACTTAAGTTCTACGGTTGAGTATTATTGCATTTGTTTAATTTCCGTCATTTAATTCCTTATATTTGAATTTTAGGATGTGTTGGGCAGGTTTATATCAGGTTGGGAGTGTTTTGCAATAAATGGTAACTGCCCAGATTTTGGTGTATCCGCTCGAGCGAGACTTTTGTCGCTCGAATGAGCTCTGTGTTTTAGATCCTTCGCTCGAGCCAGGGTTCCTTCGCTCGAGCAAGAGTTGGGTGATGTGTCTGGTGGCTCGAGCGAGAAGTCT